GTTTCTGAAGAACATCAAAGTCCTCTCATTTAGGAAAGGATACAATCAGATTTTTCTGAAAAATAGAAGTTGGCAAAAAATAGAAACACTCTATTCCTCCATCTTTTTCACTCAGGTGGATACCTCACAGGCCAAAATTATATGCAAAAAAATAGTCTTTTTATACAATCAAGTTAAAGATAGATAGCAATGCTATATTACATCTGCTGCACTACAGCTGCCTGATTAAAAGCATAAATAGTCAGGAAACAGTTAAGTCTATAACTTGTTTAGCTCACATTCTGACTAAAGACCCAATTCAACCCAATTCAACATCTAAAGCATTTTTATTACTGTTTCTGGTCAGCTGCAGTTGACTAATGGTTCTTAAGTTGCAAGACCAACATTACACAAAAGGATGCCTAAAGAAAAGTGATCAGTGCTGAAATACTTACAACGATTTCTTTTAGAATTTAGTTACTATGACATCATGTTAGCATGTTTTTTTTTAAAAATACAGCATAATCTTACCCGTTTCCAGGTTGCTAACAGCTGTTTGTCAGACATCTGCTCTGGGTAATCAGCAATTGCAAAGACACAGCCCAGTAGGAAATACTCTTCTGGAACTGGAAGAGTTTGGCACATAAAAGAAGAAAAAAATTAAATACTACAAGTCTGAAGAGTTCACCTCAGAACATATTTGCTACACCGATACCTTCTATTACCAGGTTACAAACTTCATTCAATTTTCAAGTAAATCTGTCTTAGAAAAAGTAGGATCCAAAATTTCAACGCTGACAGCCACATCTAAAGGCACAGTTCAGCCCACAGTTTGGTTTTGTTCTGGGTGTTTTTTTGTTGAGGAAGGGGGCTAAAGGGGCAGAAGGAAGTGGCACCAAAAAGAAAACAGTAAGACGAACCTACTCTTCTACAGATCAGCTATGAATAGTCAAAACAATCAAAAAGCTTTTTGTTCTACTAGCATGGACAGAATTCAAAGCACGTTATGACAGCTTCCTATCTGATACTGAATCCTCATTAATTTACTAGTATTTCCAAAATTAAGTTGTCTTTCCAGCTGTTATGCTGTTCGAAAACATCCCCCTTCCCCTTTTCCAAAAGAAAAAAAAAATTAAGAATTTATGGTATTCATAGATGAACACTGTTCTCATAGTATCATTTATATGCTAGTGGCATATATTTGAAAAGAGAACATTCTCAGTGCTCTCATGCTTTTCAGATTTCTGCATCATCCTTATTCGTTATTTAAATGTTTGCCTAAAAATTAGTAAAACAGGTCCTGAGCCACGAACGGCTTTTCTCCTACCACCCCATACTGTAAACACAGCATTATTTTTCGACATTCTAACCCACAGTAGGTCACATCATTAGCCACTTTTTTCCAGGATCAGAAAGCAATAATTACTAACTCTCTGCTGCTGGATCGTGTCCAAAAAGTGGCTGCTGTTGCAGTTGTTGCTGTTGCTGCTGGTGGTGTTGCGGCTGCTGGGCTGCAACTTGATGCTGTAGTGCTTGAGATGTCTGAGTTAAGTGTTGCGTGGCCTGATTCTGCATTTGCTGCTGCTGATGCTGTTGGTGTAATCGCTGTAAGTGCTGCTGCTGCAGCTGCTGCTGCTGCATTTGCTGCTGCTGATGTTGCAGCTGCTGTTGTTGCAGATTCTGTTGCTGTAGCTGCTGCAACTGCTGCTGCTGCAGCTGATGAAGTTGCTGCTGCAAAGCATGCTGCTGCTGGAACTGGAGCTGTTGCTGAGGACGGTGGAGCTGCTGTTGAGCGTGTAACTGCTGCTGTGGAAACTGAAGCTGCTGCTGTGCGAACTGGTGCTGCTGATGAACTTGCTGTTGCTGTTGTGAAAACTGATGAGGCTGTTGCTGTTGGAAAGACTGCTGGGAAATCTGGGGTTGTTGCTGCTGCTGCTGTTGTAGCTGCATAAGTTGTTGAGGTTGAAGGTGTAAAAGAGGATGGTGCTGCTGCTGCTGTGCTTGATGTGACTGCTGTAATAAATGTGTCTCTGGTGTTAGTTTCACTTGACTAAACAGCACTGCATTTGGATGTCCCTGTTGGCTATGATTTACTTGTTGTTCTAAACTTTTTGTAGGTGCTGAAAGTGACTGTAATATCTAGAAAACAAAGATTAGTTTTGTGACCTTTTTGTTGTCATTCAGTTTTACAATTATTTAAAGAACTACTGGGAAAATACAAGTCTCAAAAGAAAAGAACCCTATGCTTAAATACCTTGTAAGCTGTAACTGTTAACAGCAAAATGAAAAGTCATGACTTACTCATAGAAAAGTGTGGAGCTACATGTGGCTCCTAATACAAGGCAATGCACATTTTAACAAGATTTAGGATTCACACCCGTCCCTGTATTATTGATGATATCTCTAATAGCATTATGACTATTAACACTATATTAATTATTACATTGATCAACTCAATCAACTGTAATATTCATTTTACAATCCTGTTGGCCCATTAAGTTCAAAGTTTAGTTCCATAGTCTTATTTTCTTTAACTTAAAAATTGCTAATAACAACTCTACTAATTAGTGCTCTTTGAAACATGGGAACTTAATACAACCTTGCTTTCTTTTGAACCAATTCAGGAATATTTAGTTCTAATTTTTAAATTGAATCCCCAAATACAAATAAAACCATTGATCTGCTGAGCACAAGTAGTTTTGTGAGGAAAAAAACCCCAACCAACCCATACTTAAGAATAATAGATTTTAGGTTTATACAGAGTGCTGAACTAACCTGGAGTATAATTTCATTTTTAGACGTATAACTCACTGTTACGGGAAAAAAATCACGTCACACTAAGCAGACACGAGTTAGCAAGTGAGTTTTTGAAGCATCAGAAAAGGGAAAATAAGGCAAATTCCTAGTAGATTAGGATGAGTTCTACATATTTATTAAAATATTTTAATATAAACTACCTATTAGAAGGAGCAACAGGAAACTCTATAGACTCACCATTCATAAAGTCTTTTAAATATGAAATCAGCTTTGGTCAATCCTGCAAAGCTTGTTTCCTTCACCCGCCCTATTTCACCACATAGAGTGTAAACTTCAGTGATGTGTGTGTGCGAGAGAGAGGAATCAAAGCACGTCACTAAAACACAAAGCCAATTAACTGTATCCTCTCAATGAAACGTCCATCAACTCTTCATCAGAGGTGGCTCAAGGGTTTTTTTGCAATGCACTTCAAAACACCTCAGGTTCCATCTAAGTAATTTTGATGTTGTTGGTATAGCACACATTTACAACCACGATTATCAAGGTATCACCCATCACTAAAGTCTAGACAGCACCACAGTACAAACATTCAATAACTAAAAATGACATACACAAAATGTATGTTTCTGTGGCTCAGTGTGAGGACAGATCTTCATGCTGCTCTCCACAAAAAAGTCCCAAAAGTCAAAATTACAGAAGCTTCAGGACACATATTTCAAAATAAAGGAATAAAACTTTCAAAAGTATCCTAGGGCTATATCCAGAAAGTAACTATATCTGCAAAATGCTTTTTTATTACAGATCTTGCCATTCAGCAGAAATCTGAGGTTCAAGTTAAACATTAACTCCCCAAGATTGTGCACCAAGACAGGGAATCCACCCAAGACTGGTACCAAGCAGGATACAAAGTACAATTTAACCTAGCCAGAGGGAAATTATAAGGAAAAAGGTAGAATTGGTTTTCCTCCCTCTAGGAAGCAGATTCACGATTCTAAGATGCAAAGCTCTCCTCCAGGTGCTGGAGCAAGCATGGGCAACTGACACAGCAGCCTGATATGGTACTTGAGAACAGTCCTTGCACACCAAAGTCAAGTCCCTAGTCTAACAGACTTCTGGAGAACAAAGTCTAGCCAAAGCACGATACCGTCAACTGCCCTGTAGCTCTACAAATATTACTTACAGAAAGATACTTCCACAGGAACACCACTAAAAAGCAGTTGATATACAGTGACTGGGTTGTAGATGTGATGTTCTGACATGAAAGCAGCAGCCAACTTACCAGCACTGGCCAGCCAACCAGGATGGTGGTGGTCTTGCTCAGTCCTTACTCAGAAGTCTCAGTCCTTAAACAATTCAAGGCACTGAGAAGAGGAATCTAAGACTTGCTTTTAAAATGAAGCCTGTATTTCCATTTCATATTCAGAAGTCACATGCACAACAGAGTGACTCCACTTTTTTTGTTTAAGTCCTAGCTTTAAGCTTCTATATTATTCAGGCACCTTTGAAAGTTTTACCATCAGATGAACATCCAAATAAATGCACCAATGCAATTATTTAAGTAAAAGATATGTCTAACATTTGCCAGCACCTACTTTTCTCATGTTCCCTTCCCATGAACATCTAAGAACTTCAATGCTCTAAGTTATTTCAGTGCATGCTCACTGGCTTTTTATTTTCTTCTAAAAATAATTCAATACAAAAGCTGTAATTATTTCAACTATACGAGTGGCATAAGAACTTGTAAGCTAGGACTCCTGCATCATAATCCTGACTATAGGATATAACACCTTAATGATGTCCAGCAGAACAACATAGTATAGAACTGAACCTACTGTTGAGAACAATCAATTTCACAGTTTCATGTGTTTAGAGCACAAATAATTCCTTGCACTGAATGAAAAGAATGAAAAGCTTGAACGGTATGAAATCACGTTTCCCGAACTAGCCAAATAATTCTAGAATTATTTTTTTTTGCTCTTATCAAGAAATCAACACTGAAACTCTAAACCACACTATAGTTAAACACAGCTTTACTCTTCCAAACATTTTTTTCCAAATGCATTCTTAGTTCTGTGAACCTGCGAGGAATTAAGTTACCTATTATGGGCAGGTTATTCATTTGGGCACAGCTTCCAAGTAATATGGGGAACTTTAAATCCTTTGTACATTTAAAGAACAAGAAAAGGAAATGGAAGTTCTTGGAAACGATAGTTCTTAAGAAAAAGTCCAATATCTTATAAATCAAAAATCCAACACTTACATGTGCTACATTTGATGGTCTATTAATCTGCTGAATGTCAGCACTATTAGTGATATTCCTTAACGTCCGCACGGCTGGACTCCACGTAGCCATCATTTCCTGTCGATCAGAACTTTGGGCACCTTGTACTGAAGCCATTAGATTGCCTCTCATATCTGGAGGCAAAATATTACCTGGCACTGGTGGGACATTGGCACATAAATTAATTAACCCAGAGTCTTTCCCTTGAGGCAACCTACGCTTTGCTGCAGATGCCTGTGGGACTTCAGCCGGTGTCCAATTCAAATTCCTTTCTTGCTTTTCTGGAGAAGAATCTGAAGAATCATCAAACATCAGTTCCCCTTTTGCCTTTTCAGCAGGAGTAGATTTTGGTGAAAAAACTTGATCACCCAAAGGTGACCCTTCTCGAGAAGATGCTGGGCTTGATAATTTTTCATCGGTACTAGCTTCATTTTGAGAATCTTGTTCTTCATTTTCTGCTTCTTCCTCCTCTTCCTCCTCCTCTTCTTCTTCCTCCTCGTATATAATTAAACGAGGATGATAAGGAGTCTCTTCTTTTTTAGCCTTATCAGCTATAGAATCCAGTACCCAGTCTGGTGTCACAATTTTAATGCTGTTCCGTTTACAAGCACATTCGTATTTTTCCTGGAGAGGGGGGGGGGAAAAAAAGGTAAAAACTTTACTTAAAGACAAAAAATTATCAATAACATTTTGAGGGCAGGGCTAGAGCATGGATCCCAAGAGGCTGGCCAATCACAGGGAGTTATCTCTCCCAGAACCAACAGGACAAACTACACTACTGTGTGTAACCACAAGTTCCAAGAGATTAAAACAAAAACCTTCACATTTACCATATAAAGGACTCAGAGGGCACAACTGCAGAAGGTTAAGTCTTCACTTGCAAAAACACCACTACCTAAATTCTTCTCAAACCCAATCACCAAAGGATTCGAATGTCATGAAACTTAGTTCTGAAAAAGCCTTCAGAACCCCAGCAGCTAGGAACACCACAGTCAATACTAGGATGCAGCTAATTTTCAGGTTGCCATTAAGGTGAGTCTAAACAGTTTATACTTCCATTTTGTCCACTAAAAAGGAAAAAACCCAAAACCCTCCAAAAAAAAACCCCAAAAAGCACCATGAAAAAGCATTTAGGGAAAAATCAGAATTTCACAATAGAGACAAATATTTACGAAGTGATCACTGAAAAAAATGCATTTC